CTGGCTCAAGTCATTTAGTGGAAGTGTGTGGGATTTTATGTTTTATCATTTGCCATGCAAACCGTGTAGTAGCACTGCAAAAATCTTTCCTTACTTAGGCTACATCCACACGAAGCCAGAGCTTTCCCTATCCGGTCTTTTTTTCCCCCTCGTCTCAAGAAATATCAGCGTCCACACGAAACCACGAAACCGACACAAAACGATGTAGTATACATGCCAGACCAGCATGTGGCGCTGTAATTCTGCCACAGAGATACACTAAAAACGGAGAAGAAGACTTGGACTATGCGCATAAACCTTGCGCGCGGTATACAAACGAACATGGAACAATACACTTATTAATCTGTGTTAATGTTAGTTAATAAAAAGACAATCGTTCAGTGTTTGTTCATGTTGTTGCTGCTGTTACGTGACGTAGCGGTGTCTGACTATGGGCGAGACGTGGGCTGATGACGTCATCGTTTCAGAAAATATACGGATTCGCTGTCCACACGAAAACGCAAGGGCAGCGTTTTCAGATTTATCCACTCTGGGACCCGGTTTCAAAAAATTGCGGTTTCACTTTCCCAAAACGCCGGATCCGTGTGGACGAAACGCCTATACGATAAAAAATTTATGCATATACAGCTAAACGCATCTCCGTGTGAACGGGGCCTTAGTATTTTATCTTGTTTTCCAGTACAAATATTTAAACATTCTTAAATGAAGATATATTTATGTAAAATAACTTAACATATTCAATTTTGTTTTCTGAAAATGTACTGAAATAGAGTGAATTTATGCTTAAAACAAAAGGGTAAAAAAAAAATGGGGAAGAATAAACAAAATTCAAAGGGAAAACAATATCTTCTTTTCTTACCTCATTCACGGATAATTTTTCTTGTTTTAAGAAAGTCTTATCTTTATCTTAGATTTTTTTATTTTTTTTTTAAGTTTAATGAGCATTTGTTGGGGTTTGTTCAAGTATGCACATGCATGGTGTTGCCTTAGTAACAACCTCTAATAAAACCAAATAAAACAAGTTTAACCTAAGAAGTACTATTTTACTTACTTAGCACCTATTCATAATAAATTTAAAGGTAGCTTAAGTTTAAAGGGATAGTTCACCCAAAAAAGAAAGTTCTGTCATTATTTACTCACCCTCATTTTGTTCCAATTGTGTATGACTTTATTTTTTGTATGATTGTCCAATCTTCTTTTCCATAAAATGAAAGTGAATGTTGACCACTGCTGTCGGATAACTAAGCTAGATAACTTCTTTTATGTTCTTCTGTTTCTTAAAAGCAGGATTTACAGCTTGCAGGATTTTTTGAAGTGTGTTGTGGTGTGTCGGTCTTGAAATCGTATCTGCCGCAGACTCGTGGCCTGTCAGTTTATCAGATCATAACTGCAGGGATTAAAGCAGAGCTCTATTCCATCAACACACCTTTTCCCACTGCTGAAATCCATCTTCACCACGCAGGAAAAGTAGCTGTATTCAAAGCGAGAGTGAGATTCAATTCGCGTCTTTACTAATGCAGCAGGTAGAGTTCTCCGGAATCTTCTCAGGTTGTGAAACCCACAATAATCCAATATTTACAATCCCTGAGTGAGGGGGTATTTTTTTCAACGTGGATCTATAAACCCATTACTAACAGGCCTGCAGTGCTATTTATAAACCAGACGAAGGCTTTTTTCAACTCTTCAGCCTGTTCTGGCTTTGAATTTCTACGTAGGTCTTACTTTTGTCTCTGCACAATGTTATTCAGCACTCAAGAGTCTGTGCGAGTCTTGACCTTTGATGAAAGGTCATTAGGAAATGTTTATGCGATTTATGTATAATTGACCTGTTATAAATGATAAGTTATAATCGCCTAAGTGGCACTACATTTAATAGTTTCAATAATAATAATAATAATATTATATTATATATAGTATTGACTGAAATGTTCAAATTAATTTAAAATAAAATTATAGATCAAAATAACCCTTCATGCAAAATACAGCATTTTATTTAGTTGTGGTTAAGTATTATTATTATTATTAACAATAATTGATATAAAATGATGAATAAAATACATATATAATATATAGTAATAACAACAATAGTTAAATTATTTTAAAGTAAATTATACTTGCCTTAGTAATCACCACTAAATATAATATTGTATATTATTCTATAATAATAATAATAAGTACAATTTATTATGATTATTATTAGTATTTTTTTTATCAATCATAATTATCCTTGCATTAGTAAGCACCACTAAATATAGTATTATATTTACTTTAATAATAATAATACATTTTAAATAGTAAAAAGTATTTAACTTAATCCTGTATTTAGGTAACTCATCTGACTCTTGCTAACCAGTAAGCAACTACTTATGAACAACCAAGCAATCACCCTGAAAATTCCAGCATTGTCATCATCATTAAAAGCATCTTTTTTTAAAGTTTGTGTTATGATTTACAAAAGCCAGTGACCTGCTAGATTTCTTGATCTTATCTAACCTGGGAGCTTTTAGAATCCTGCATTGTGATGCATGTTTTTTTTTTACACCAGTACAGTCTGCATAGATGCTAATCATGGGTAGTTCTGTCATCCAATGGCTGTTTCTCTCGTCTCCACTGAGAAAATTGTGTTGTTAATGTGACGTCCCTATCAGCACTTTTTTAACAATGGAATTGTCAGTGATTGATGGTTTAATACCCTCTGAGGTTCCTCCGCAGGGAGGCAAATCTCTTCTCCTGATGAAGTGTTCGGGAAGAGAGTATTGCTGCCTGTGGATTGGACTGAAATTTATTTATTTGGGATTTATTGCTGGCGTACCTGCGATTGGGAGGCAGAGAAATTCACTTTGGGTTCCTCGGTCAAACAGGAAATAGATTAAGACAAATTGAGATTCTTTAATTTTCTCATTTGGCGCCGCACCGAAGGACGTATCGCATTGTTGCGAGTCAAGATAACGTAGTGGATCCTTTATTGAAACAGCTCTCTAGAATTTGTTTGCTCACACACTTGCGCTTTGGGGCGTTTTTAAATGTAGTTCCCGTGTTGAATTAGATGGGAGTGAAATGCTTTGTATTATGTTCCTGGTTGGGCCACAAAAGGATTGAGAAGTTTATGTTTTTCCATCTGAGAAGAGGAATTGCTTTTTGCTCCCACTCACGTCCTACGTGATCAAACTTTCTCGAATGTTTTCGCCGGCGTAGCTGCGTCATGCCATTCTACTTGGGACTTTTAGTTTAGCAAAAACAAACCTAATTGTGCTTCGGTCCAGATATTGGTGATCTTATCTGCCCCGACTCCCTCAGTCATCCTTGGTTTCGGCTGACGGGGCATTTCCTGCGTGGTGGACAGAGCTGTTCCTGGCTTTCAGAGCCACTCCGAACGGCCCGTCCTCTGTTTTCTCGATAAGATCGGCTGCTTTAAAGGCCTCCGATGGGCTGCATCTAGACGGCGGCCGGAATGGCGATAAACCACCTTGCCGTGAGCTACAAAGAGCTCGGGGGCCAGATGGTATCGGGAGGCATAAAAGGGAGACGTTGGGACTGATGTTTTCTTGAGGGACTTGTTCTTCAGGACACGACTTCCTCGCATGTGATCGTTTTACAACCAGAGGTTAAAGAGGCTACCGGATACGTGCGCGTGGCATCAGGGACAGCGGTCTGTCTCGAGAGGTAGTTGAGTGGTGAAGCAAGGTCAAATCACAGGTGACATGAGGGCAATGACGCTTTTAACCCTCAGTGAGCCATGCAGTGCCAAGTTCAAAGCAGTTAAATAATGTGTTTTTCCAGTAATTATGGGATAAAAGTGCACAGAACAGCAGCTCACATTCTGAAATGTATCATAGCAACAAGTTTGGCAGGAACAGAAACTAAATCTCCCAGCATGCCAAAGTCACACAACATGGTCACTGCCTACTCACTACATTGCTGACTGTTTTGGATCATATTTAGCAGTCTTTCATGTACAAATATTTGGTCTTTTTTTTTTTTTTTTTTTTACTGTAGCTATAGAAAAATGGCAACTTTTTTTTCTCAATGATATTGTGTGGTTGTTTCACATCTACTTAAAAAGCACTCAAATTGGAAATTTACAGTTATATCTGTATTTCAAATTGCCAATTTACAGATAAACAGACAGTAAATACACTTAGAATATTACTAAAGCTTTCTGTCAAATAAATGTTCTTTTGAACTTATATTAAAATACATATATAAATAGAATACAATAAGTCTATAATTAAAAAAAAAAAAATATATATATATATGAAGTACAGGATTAATATTAATAAAAATGATCATCATAATGCATTAATATTATTATGTGCCAGTTGCTACGGTAAGTATAACTGATTAATAATAATTATACATTATTTTAACTTTTTATTGCTAATTCTTATTATAATACTTGCCATAGTATGTAAATAAATAAAATAGTGTATTTTCTCTCTCTCTCTCAAATGGCTGCAATATAACAAAGAGTGAAAAATTTAAGGGGGTCTGAATACTTTCTGTACCCACTGTATATATATAAAACATATTTTGAACATTTATATTTATACAGAATGTATTATTATTGTTGTTGTTGTTGTTGTTGTTGTTGTTATAGAAAATACAGTATTACATTTTATTTATTATAATTATTTGGGTAAAAATTGACCACATTGACATATATGACTAATTCCCATAAGAGTCCATAATAACAATAACAAGAGTTTATAATAATAAAGCCAAATTTTAACCAAAAGGTTGAACTTTGCTCTGAGGACAAAATTGTTTTGTGGAATTAATCGATAGCAATATTTCTGTTTAGTGAACTTTTGTTCTTTAACAAAAATAAACCTGAAGTCATGCTGATGTTAACATCCTCTGAAGGCTGTAAATAGTCGTGGTCTCTTTAAATAGATTTGTGTCCACTTTAGATTGATGTTTTAAGGTGAGTTGCTGTTATCTAAAGACATGGTTTTTATGGATCGTCTTAAATAAACTCTTGTGGTGTTTTTATCTCTCAGGATCGAGACAGTGACAACGCTCTGTGTCTGAAGAACAGATCTGCCTTTGAGCACCAACACCATCACCTGCTGCATTGTCTGGAAAAGACAACAGTAAGTACAGCTCAGTCTGTTACTGGACACAAATTATGACATATTTCTTGTTCAAAATATCCTAAATGAAGCATTTCCTCCTGTATTTCCAACAGAACCATGAGTTCACAGACGAGCTGACGTTCAGTGAGATGTGTATGACTGAGTCGGTGGGCTATCGCACGAGCCGCAGCACTTCCATCTCCAGCCAGCAGGGGGTGTCGACGTCCTGCTGCCCCCGCAGGGGTAAGAGAAGAGCCATCCGCCTCGCCAACTCCACCGTATCTGTGAGCCGGGGCAGCATACAGGAGCTGGACACTCTGCAAGTGCACAAAACCTCTGCTGGACCCCAAAGGTACGACATCACACAGACCCTGATGATTTATTCACATAAAGAAAAGGAAAAGTATTATTAGAGCCATTATGAATTTTTGCATTATTACAATTAAAAAAAGTTCTCATTACTGTAATAGAACATAGAATTTAAAAATTAACCAGTCCAGACACAATTATATTTTTGCTAATGCTACCAATAATTTATACTTACAATAATTTATAGTGATTTATCCTTTATATAATATAATAGTGAATTATATAAATGCATAGTTTATAAAAAATAAAATTAATTGTATATTTAATTATATAAATATAATTAAATATATATAATTAAATTGTTTACTATTTCATAATTAAATCATTATTTCATTTGTTTCCTATTTATCTAGAAAAATATTTTATTTGACTAATACTACCAAAATGTATATCATTTTTTATCATTCAATTGTTACTTACTACATGTAATTAATATATACTTTAAATATTATATAAATTAATATGATACAATATAAATGAAAAATAATTAAATAATTATTAGAATTATTATGATTTTAATAGTTTATAATTAGAAATAATTATAATTTGAAATGTCATTATTTCATAAAATGTATAACACACAATTATATAGTAAAAAAAATTATAATTAGAAATATGTAATAATTTCATGAAAATGTTCACACAATTATAAAGAAGTAAAAATTATAATAAAAAATATGTAATTATTTCATGAAAATGTATACACACACAAACACACAATTATAAAGTAGTTGTAAAATAATTTATATTGATTTATCATTTATATAAAATTTAGGGGAAGTTATATAAATACATAATAATTAAATAATAATGTATATATAACTAATTAAAATTGTAATATTTCATAATTGTATATTTTAAATAATTATAAATATTTTATCTTCATATTTATTCATACAGTAATAAATATGAGATTTGTTTTGAATTCATATTTTTATGCAAAATAGTTTATTCCTTTCTTATTATGACTTTAATAATATTTCTTGACATTTTTCTTAAGGTTTGTAAAGATGATAAATTATTCTCTTATTTTTTTCTTTTCTTTTTTGTCATAGAACATAATTTATATAAAAATGAAGTTGGCAATATTTAATACAAAAATTAACAATAAATTCTAAAGAAAATGATACTCTGATTAAAGCTTGTTAGACTAATATCACACTTTAGTTTTTACTATTTTTATGTACATGACTACAACAAAAATTGTGGTTGAGCAATAACTTCTGTAACAATTAAGATGATATCTCATCTAACCTATAACTTTTTCTTGTGATACGCAACTCTCGCTCTACTTTCTTCACCCATGAGACAGTGAAGATCTCCTCCTTATAACCGCCACAAGCACACAATCATCCCCTACTGCACAAAGGAAAGGAAGTGATGCGGGCTTCTCCCAGGAAAGATCGCAAACGCCACAGAAAAGACAAAGTGCATCTCGTAACAAATCTGCTTCATTCCAAAATCGACAATTCGATGTGGACTCGCATGAGCTGACGTGCTTTTTGTGACCCCGGACAATTCACGCAAGACTGACGGTACGCGTTTGGGGGAGATTGAAAAGATGAACTCAGTCGCATTTTACGATAAATCAGCAGTTGTAGTGGCACAGAAGGCCTTTTACTTTTAAAGATATGCAATGTTTCAACAAGCAGGAATTATGCCTATACGTCCACTGCGTAATACAGTTGCAGGAGAGATTACAAAAGGCGTAAATTATCGTAAAGTACATCGATATATCGAACCCGTAGATCTTTGCAGGGAAAAATAGAACGGCCGAGATGAAGGAGGTGGTGTATATGTATCAATATTTGTATCATACCTCTTTAGATCACATGCATCTTCAAAACCCCACAAAAAAAGATGAGGAGATTTCCGACCCAAACATGCATGTTGTTGTATAGTAGATACCATGGCAGAGAATGGAGCCGCCAACATGCTACTGTCACATACTTTTGCATGGTACTTCTTTTACCTCCGTTTCGTTTGTCCTGTTTTCTTTCTTGACATTGATGAAAAAAAGATGATATTTACAGAGTATTAATGATCAAACGTGTTGCACCAGATGTGCACATTAGAAAAAAAGAACGATAAACATTAAAAAAAACATTCAGGCATGTTCTTTGCAAAAATCTGAGGTCGGCATTGAGTGTGTGTGTGTGAGTGTGTGTGATGGGCGACTGGGAAGGACTTGTGTTATTTGATCACAGATATGCATGGATACCGTTGTAGGTATTTTTGTGTTTTCTCCCATGGGAAAATGAAAGGTTTCTATAGCATTTTAAAGCGAATGGAGGGCGTTTACCACTGTCATCGAGTTTTACTGCAGTAATTAGAGTCACTTCAACTTATTTTTCATTTGGATTGGTAATTAAGTGTAACCTTTAAAACCTAGCTAGCTATTTTATACAATAGCTTATGCATCGAACACGGCTATGTAACGGTCCAGTGAAGCATTTCTCTAATTTGTTTTTAAAGCTCATCTGTTAATGTTTATTTAAAAATCATAAGCAGCAATGAGACAGGCAATAATAGTGTAATTATTTTTTACTACAGAACAGAAGTGAAAGATACAATTATATGTGGAAATTAGTACAAAAAAGGAGGAATGCAAATTTGCACTTGACTGTGATGAAAATATGTTTGTTACTCTGTTTACAAGCCTTATTCCGAAGTTATTTTTACGTTCGTTTTGGTTCCTAGGATTAAAATATTGAGTTCATGTTAGTGTTCAAATCTTGAACATGACCTCAGATGTCTCCTCTCTTTAGGTGTCTTACTCTGAAGGGTGCAACCAGACTTTTGACTATTGGTGGACCACCTTTGTGCCTGTCCCAAGAGCACTGTTAGCCTAAGTATATTGTAGAGATCATTTGTGCCAATGCCATCTACTTAGGCTTACAATGCTTTTGGGAAGCACAGCCCACATTAGCAATTTCTAATCACGGTTTGGCTGCTTAGTCCTGTTAACCCTTACTGGTAGATGTCAGAACTACACCATCTGGCTGTAAAAAAGCATCGTTGACATCATTCAAAAGTACTAAGAAGTCATGTTATGAAGTAATTTTTTGAAAGCAACAGATAAATCATAAATTACTCATTTTACAGTATGTTCTCTCTCTCTCTCTCTCTCTCTCTCTCTCTCTCTCTTCAGCTTCATAAAGTAGTGTGAAGTGGTAAATTTAGTAATTGGTCAGGCACCTGCTCATTTTCGGCAGGGGGTGTTGGATGAAATGGCTCCCGGTAGGAGATTAAAGAGTTAGATATCAAAAGCACAGAGGTGTAAAGTCTATTCCACAAATAAAGTGAACAGAACTCAGAAAACATGGTGTGTGTCGGCTCTCAATCACATCTAAGCATACGCATCAGTTAATCTGTTTGAAATGTGTCATTATTGAATATTAACGGTGGCCCCAAAAATGTCTGAATGTCAAAGGTTTATGGTCTTTTCTTCAGATTTGCTGACACCATCTGATATTTTATAGTGCTAATCTTCAACGCGATGGTTCAGATGTTCACTTAAAAGTCTCATGGCTAATTGTTTTCTGGTCTTCTCCTGAAGGAGCACTGTGTAATTGGCTATCAATTTGCATAATGTGAGAATTTGCCATTAAATCATAATAATTTAGCTGAGTGTAATTACCCACACTGCAGCCAATGATTTACAGTTAAGTCAACATGAAATGGCATTTAAAACCCATTTAACTTCTAAAATGTGATATTTCAGAGAGGAATAGAATGCTAAAAATATGTAGGGTGGAGCTTGGTGTTATCTTCTCAGAATTAATGGAGGAAATGGAAGATGTTTTTATGTTGACTTGAAAGTTGCGCTGAAACTTAAGTATCAAAAGATCTTTTCTTCAGTATTGTGATGTACTTCCGAGTTTAATGGATTACTGGAAAATAAAAATGAAGGGTGGGGACTTGGTTCTTTGCATCAGTTGTTGATTGGATTTTGAGATGTAGCCTATGCATTGCACTCAAAAATGGAGGCAGATGAACATGACTTCACAGGGGCAGGATTTAAAAGGAACAAATGATTGAAGAAAGTCCCCATAATGGACCCTTTTCACAGACTGTGGTAACACATTTAAGTGGTCATCAGCATTTTTTTATATTTTCACTTTTTAAAAATGTATGTACATATACAGTAAACACTATGCTTTGTATTTTATTGGCTTGGCATCAAATTACAAAAAAAAAAAAAGATTTAAAAAAACTAGCTAACATTGCTGTGAAGACTGACAGTAAATTTGACATTGTTCTCTCTTCTGACTGACGCTAACAATCTCTCTCTCTCTCTATTTAAAAACACTATCGTGGATTTTTTTTCTTTTGCTAGGCTATCTGAGCAAATGGGAATGCAAAAATTATATTTTAAGTAGTCTTCCGTTCACCACTGTACAAGTTTACCCAATATGACAACGTCCGCTTCTGAGAAACCCGGAAATGTGAAAAGGGTCCATTAGAAATGGCCAGTAATGTCCCAGTATTTGAAATTTTTGCACCGCTCTGCTGCACTTCATTACACAGCGTTCTGTTTGTTGTTAGGATGACAAAATGGTTTAAAAGTGAAATTTTTAGGCTGGTCTGCCTCGGTCTAACAGCGCTCATCAACGTCAAAATGATTAAGATGACCAATCAAATCAAAGTAGGCGGGGTTTACTGTTCACAGCAGCAGAGCGCGAATTCTAGAAGCTTCAGTTAAGTGTTGCCAGACGTACGATAATTATCGTATTTTTACGATAATTTTGACCTCTGTACTATGTACGATCAATAATGAAAAAAATCCCATAATGTACGATAATTTCGGAATTTCAGAACGTGTTTTTCCAAAGTCAGCCTCATCAAAACAAAGCCACGAAATCGGCTCATTACGACACTCTAAATGGGTTCGTGCACACCTCAGAGCCCTCAACATCTGGCAACACGCAGGCTTCCGATGACAGCGACTCAGAGGTGGAGTTTGGACCTTCCTACAAAGTACGCCTACTAGGGCCCTATGATTTCCGCGATGCGAAAAACGTGGACGGAATCGCGGAATCCAGTCATAAAAACGGAATTTACTGTATAACGCCGAATGTCACGGAATTTGTCAAAGTTTGGATGAATTAATCAAAGGAAGGCCATTGTCTTTACACTTAAATCGTGATACGATTTTGATTTACAATCAAATCATGATATGGACTAGTATCTGTAAATATTAAGCCGCATTTAAATATGAATCCTGCATGTTCTGTGTCTGTGTGAATGAATGACGCAGCCAATGACTATCCATTACGACATGTAGGCATTTTTACATTTATGTAGCCTACACAATAATAATCTTTTACATTGCAATCCTTTAATTTTTAATATTTGGCATGTTTGTGTGCTGCTGTGCGTCCCTGTGTGTGTAATAAGCAGAGTGTACACACGCTGTGGACCCACCTATACTAACGCACTCTTTAAATAACAAAAAAACTACTGTGCCATTGACTTTAGACCAGGTTTTAGTTGGTCAATGGCGAAGTCTATTTCAGTTGCCTCAAAATAGCAACGTGCAAGCAATGCGCCTGAACACACCTCATTTTCAGACCAGCACGCCCATGAGCGTGCTGGTCGCAAATGCATTTCCTATTTAAATAACGTGGTGCAGGACATGAAAATGACAACTGCGCCGGGCTGAAACTAGCAAAAAACACCGCATAGCGCGATTCGAGACGGAGTGAAACACGGACAAATGCGTTTCATTCAATTGGTCGGACTCGTGACTCCCAACAAATCAGATGGGCGGTGGGCGGAGATTGCTTTAGGCCACAGAGTGGTGTGTTCTGACAGGCTGCATCAGAACCAAATAGCTTAAATTTAAAGTTATTTTATCAAAATTAAGTTATTTTATCGGCAAATCAGTTTTGAAAATGACCGATACTGATAATCATAAAAATGCTTAATATCGAATATTTCTTCCATGTTTTAATTTTAATTGTAAATCCCCTTTGTTTGCCAAAAAATAAAATTTGTTTAATTTTCATTAATTAAAAGATACATTAATGTGTTATGCCTTCATTCGATAACCGGAAAAATTCAAATGCACAATGCAGAATTTCTAAAGAAAAAAACATTTCATAAGGCTATAAATAAAAGTAGTTTTTATGCATTCAAATAATTAGACATATTAAAACTAGTTCTTAATTTGTTTGAGAACTGAGAAAGACCGTTCCATTAATAGGCGCCGCGACGTGGCCACATTACCACTTCGGTAGTGCATTATTTCTCTAAAAATGTTAACGGCCTGGAGTCACAATCACACATCAAGACATTGTTCAGATGATTTGTTTAAAGACATCTGACATGTTTCCGTCCTGAAATCTTGTGTGTGTTGAACTAGTAAATTTTTTATGCACCTCATCCCAAACCTTCCGTTGCAAATTCCAAAACGTCATTTTAGAGCTAATAACAGAGGCTTGAGCCATTGATATTCAGGCTAATGCAATTATTAGAGAGAGAGAGCGATTAAGTGCGTGTGAATACTTGCGTCTGTGCGTCTCCCAGCAGTGTTCAGCAGCAGTGTCTACTAATAGCGAATCTTTAAGTTGAACTGCTTGAAGAACCTCGCTATTGAGAAATGCGAAACTATTATTGATAAATTCGCAGGGCAGCCACAGCCCTCTCTGGTTTGATTGATAGTATTTTAATTTTCATCTTTGTCAGAGAACAAAGTAAACAAATGGTCGACTGTTATGTTTTATGAACAATTTTATTAAACAAGTTACTTTACTGAAGGCTACCTGGAAAGCTACTTAAGTAAGTTTAATAAATTCACAATATGTACCCATTCGTTATTAATCATATGCCTAATATAGCCTATGATAAAAACGGCTTCTTTTCTTGTCCCCTCACATTGACAGTTACGAATCACTTTACATGAATCAAGTCAATTCAAAACGGTGGAATTAGACAAGTTTATTAGTTTGCATTCCTGATTATTTTTGTCAATCGTTTAACATTTCTATCGTAAAACAGCTGTCAGATATGAAATGTTTGGCTACTTACATCTTATCCCGCACTTTATAGCCGCTAACTGAAGCGTCGCGTTGAAATTCGCGCTATGCCGCTTCTGTGAACACTGAACATAAAGTCCGCCTACTTTGGTCATCTCAAATATTTTATGACATTGACGAGCGGAGACTGTCACCGTGACAGACGGCTGAGGCAGCTCAGATGAGGAGGTTTACATTTAAGCTTGGTGCTGTGCAATAATATCTTTGCAGCAGGAAGGAAGAGTTAATTATAATACTATATTAGGCAATTATTTCACAAAGTACACCTAGGAAAAGTACCGAGGTCCGGACCTCGGTGACGGGCTACGGGCATGAATACTATTGATGCAAGCTACTAGACTTTTTTTCTCTCAAATATGGCCGTTTTGTATTGAAAATGGTATCATTTAGGCCTACGTGATTCATGTAGGCTAATTCCTAACTGAGTGTGACGGGAAGAGAAACGTTTTGCGTTAGTCATTTGCTAAAACATTTTTCAAAACATCTTCCTCAGAAAGAAGTCGTGCATGTTTGGACCATGAGAGTGTGAGTATGCTCACTATGTATATAGTAGCCTATAACGTTAAATGAACTATCTCTTTAAGTTTTATGCCATAAGATTGTGTTTGGACCATGAGAGTGTGAGTATGCTCACTATGTATATAGTAGCATAACGTTAAATGAACTATCTCTTTAAATTTTATGCCATAAGATTATCTTTTCCTTTTCCCTCTACATTTTGAGAAACGTTTAAGATAAGTAATTATCGTTTCATCTTAAGCTCTAATGAACAACCCACAGATCAGCATCTACAGAAGCCACGTCTCAGAGTCACTCTGTATATATTTCCTCTCTCGCGTTTTTGTTTCTCCTTTTCTCTCAAGACTGCTTACAAGAATATAAATATACACTAAAACAGTACAAAATATTCACTGGTTTTCTTCATCTTTCGTACGTTTGCTATGAATGAGTCGTATGGCCTGTGATGGACTTGAAATGTTTGCACAACACTGACCTCTAGCCGCAGATACAGTAATTGCAGCGCGAGCGCAAGTGAACAGGATGCCTCATGATGTTAACCCAAAAGTTAAAAATTTGTCATTAATTATCCACGCGTATGTAAACTTGTACACATGAGAACCAGTGCCAATTATGCTTATGTTTTTTTTTAAGGCGAGACACCCCAGGTGAATAGGAGAAGAAGTAACTAATAAATATACTTCCCCAGTTGATTGATTACATTAAGAATTGCAAACATTTTTTGTATTACAAGTTTTCTGAAATGTTATGTTTAAATATGCAAATGAGGCTTTATCTAATTAAATATGTATTAACTGTATACATTTCTAGAACAAAAATCTGAACATTGGATGAAGCCAGGTTCAAAATTCATGTTTCATTTTGCTGACTTAGTCAAAAGTTTCTACAAAGGGTATTTTGGATATCTCTTTTTATCACTCCATAAATCAGAAAATACTGTCAACAACCAAGAAAATTATAATAATAGCCTAATAATAATAAATAAGTAAAATACATTTTCAGTTTATTTATTTATTTATTTATTTATTTCAGTAGCCAATCAGTGCAAAAATATAAGTGCTGTAGCGTAATTTGTCAAATATTTTTATAAAATCAGGCAAATTATATATGAACAAACCCTCTGCAAATATCTCCAGGATACAGATAGGAATAAAACTGTAATGTTTGTTGTATGTATGTATTATAACTGAATTCTACAGATGCAAATAGATAAAGTGCTATGAAAGAAACACTTAAAAGTGTATCTTGGATGTTTTCTTTCTACTAGTCTGAAAAAAAATAAAAATAAAAATGGAAAGCCAAAAAGCCCAAAATCTATGAAAAAACTGTATTTTTGCCTGTAGTGTCTCACCTTAAATCTGGACGTGACAAGATTATCGATAAATAATTGCTTAAATTAAACACAAAGCTAATTTTTATCAAGTGAAATGCGGATGAATGGTCTCAGGTGAAGAAAGTGAACAGGATGTTGAAAAAAAAAAAAAGATGTAACATCACAGAGCCCTTAAAAGCAGGTACAACATTTGCCCTGTCCCTCTCCTCCGTCCTCCTTTCTGCGATCATGTGGTTCCTGCTCCTGTATTTCCAAATATCAGCTATTCAAGGCAAGTGAAATTGTATTTAATAAATAAAACAAATTCCATATTCTGTTTACATGCATTGTGTTCCATTCTGCTGTTAATTGGGCATTAGATGGAATTGATATATTTGGCATAAGTGTGTTTAATGTGCGACCAAAAGTAGTCTGAGACAGCTAATGAAAATGCTTATATTTTGTAATTCAGTGCAACATTTTTCATTATGTATCATTCATTAATTTATATTGTCAAAAAAAACAATTTGAATGAAAATAGGAAAAGCAGCTTAGTATATGAAGACATATGAAGCTGATATTATTTAAAACGGGATGATGATAATGATGTTCTCCAGCTTGATTTAAGATATTGAAAAGAGCATCTTGTGTATCAAAGGAACCAAAAATAAATAAATAAATATGACCATCTATGGCATAATCTATGTGATAAAATGGCCAATTAGTCACCTAGAAATACTATAACTATCCATTGTTTTAACATTTTAACATTGTAACTTTATTTAGAGGAAATCAAATACACTACACTTTTACTTTATACTTAAAAAAAAAAAAGATGAATCTATAGCTAGTAAAACTTGCCAAAAAATTGTAATGCAAATAATCATTTGATTATTTATAAAAATGTAGTTTAAGTGCTGCCATCAAATACTTGAGAACAATTTGAATGTGTTAAATTCGAAAAGAAATTGAAAATGAATGAACAAATGAATTAATTCGTGAATAAATAAATAAAAACTTGATCATTTTTATAGTATCTTGAAATATGTCTCTTATAGTATCTTGAAATATGTCTACAATTAATGTGTATATCTTAATTTATAATTCATTTGCTAATAAATTAATTAGTTTTGGTTATACATACATACTATAACATATAAATACATCTTTCATCTTTTCTTTTTTTCTTGTCTCCTCTAAGTATAAATTAACAAATATATTACTGCAAAATTGCAATCATTCTAAATGAAAACAGCTACAGTGATTAATATATATTAGTACATGATAATGCATCTTTGTGATATAATATTTACTCATTTATTTATTTATTTTATCTACCTGGTGGAATGAAAATGGTAGGAATAAATAAATATTTATGCATATTAAAACACATTACATGAGTAATGAGTCCATCTTCAGATGTAGATGATCAGTGCATTCATTTTTAATTACCGTTCTAGACATGAAGAGACCAAAACCAAGATCACGCTGTGGTTTGTGTGTCAAGCATATGTTCATCATAACCCTGTGTGGAAAGGCACGGTTATACCTGTGGTTAACTTACTCATGCTTATGTGAAGCGGGTTTATCTCAGAATCTGCATAAACATGCAACTTGCCAGAGTTTCAGAGCTGAAAACCACGGGCAGATAAGAGACCGCAGCAGTTTCTGCAGAGTATGTGGCTCATCTGTTCTCAGAACTCAGAGCCACATTTTTCCAATGACCATATAAGGTTAAAAGAGACACCTTGACCCTTATACTATTATATTATATCTTTTAATTTATAAATATAACTTCTGTACTCCTTATATGTCATTGTATATTTTTGTTTATGAAAACATAAATTCAAGATAAAAGCAATGATGTACTGTACTCCTTAGATTGCGTTCTAAAGGAGCGTAGCTGTTTCAAAATTAATTATTTTTGCTGGAAATTTTTTTTTTAATTTTAATTAAATTGTAATTTAATTAAATTTTTTTATTTCATTTAATTTAATTAATTTACATTTCTTGCAGGTCTCAGTGTGACTTTGCGCGGATCCGACAGCCCTTGTAAAGGCCGGCTGGAGGTGTATAATGGGCATGGCGGTAATAAGCAGTGGGGCTTGGTGTGTCATTACGGGTGGATAAAAGAAAATGGAGAGGTTGTGTGTAAATCAATAGGGTGTGGAAATCATATGCACTCTGATGTAGAAAGGACCCGCTACAAAGATCCACCTCTACCTCAACAATATTGGATGGATGAAGTGAAATGCACATCTAAAGAAGAGAGCCTTTGGAAATGCCTATATGTTGACATAAATGAAAAAGAAAAGTGCGATGAAAGTAGTTTTGTTGCTGTTGAATGCTCTGGTAGGTAGTATTCCTTTAACTATATAAAAAAATGTTTTATGTTTGTATTCCTGTCATCTAAGTTATAGTGTTCAGATGTGAATCTACACCAGGGCTGTCCAAATACACATTGTTGATGCCAAGCTTTTCACCACAGGAAAAGTTACACTGAGTTTGAATCTGAATGGGCAGCGTGATAAATGTGCTGGTGTGGTGGAGTTCTCGACACCCAACGGCATCTTTGGGGTCTGTAATGATAAATGGGGTAAGTGGACAAAAACAAGAAGCTTATTTTATTAGCTATTTCTTCTTTATTGACCAAAACATGAGAGAGAATGTCTAAATGTCATTTGCATCACAAAAAAAGAAGTCATCTCAAAGCAAATAACAGCACTTTTCAGAGCCTTTTTTGCAATGACTTTTAATCAACTGGTCATTTAGTGGATTGATGCAATTGAAGTAAATGATTTGTAATTATTTATGTATTTAAAAGTGATAACAACTAAACTTCAGCTGCTGTTTAAGAATGCAGTATATGTATAATTAATATTGAAATCCCAATAACCTTTTTTGTGAAATGTAAATATTAATTATTTAGATGTTGATATATTCATTTTCATATGTAATTGTTAATAAATAATGTTACATTAATACAAATGCAGTAATATGCAGTTTGAAAAGGTAATTCTCGTACAATGTTCCATATTCTAATGCAAACAATGTGCTTAAGCGTAAATAAATAGTTTCATCCCAAATTAAATGTGCAAGCAAATGTTACTCTAGACCTAATGGCACTTTTCTGAGAGGTTTTTTTTTATTTTTTATTTTTTATCAAATGATCATTTAGTGGACTGAAGTCAGTTCTCCCCAAGACCACAGAACTTTTTTTCCCCAAGCTTCCAAACACGTTTGACTCCATTTTGAGCAGTGTGTGTCTATTTTTGTATTTTTTTTAACTCAATAAACTTTTTTTTGTCATATATATACACTACCAGTCAAAAGTTTTTGAACAGTAAGATTTTTCATGTTTTTTAAAGAATTCTATTCTGCTCACCAAGCCTGCATTTATTTTATCCAAAAGCAAAAGTATTAATATTGTGAAATATTTTTACTATTTAAATTAACTGCTTTCTATTTGAATATAATTTAAAATGCAATTTATTCCTGTGATCAAAGCTGAATTTTCAGCTATTACCATTCAAAAGCTTGGAGTCAGTATAAATAAATAAATAAAAGTAAATAATACTTTTATTTAGCAAGGATGCTGTAAATTGATCAAAAGTGATGATAAAGACATTTATAATGTTACAAAAGATTTCTATTTCAGATAAATGCTTCTTCTAAACTTTCTATTCATCAAAGAAAGCTGAAAAAATCTACTCAGCTGTTTTCAACATAATAATAATAATAATAATAAATGTTTTTGAGCAGCAAATCACAATATTAGAATGGTTTCTGGAGTAATGATGCTAAAAATTCAGCTTTGAAATCACAGGAATAAATTACATTTTAAAATATATTTAAATAGAAAACAGTTATTTTAAATAGTACAAATATTTGAAAATTTGACTGTTTTTATTGTACTTTGGATCAAATAAATGCAGAAGAGACTTCATTAAAAAACATTACAAATCTTACTGTTCAAAAACTTTTTACACACACACACACACACACACACACACAGTATGTTACAGTACATTAAAACAAATTGAAAAATGCGGAGTTTGATGTTTTATGCAGTGATGCATACAGTATTTTATTAGAAATAATGTGTTTAATTGGTTCTTCTCAGTTTAACAAATCAAACCAAATAGCATGTGCAAGCAAATGATACTCTAGAACTCTAGAACCCATTTTTGCGATCACTTTTAATCAACTAGTTAGAACTTTTTTTTTCAAGCATCTAAACATTTTTTTATGCAACGACAAACAAAGTTAAGACAGACTACAATCCACAGAACACCAATTTTGATTTCATGTCCTTTAATAATGGTTTCTTCTACATTTTTGATGTCATTTTTACATTTGTAAATTATTATTTGACAGTAGATTATTTGAGAAAAGCTTTAGTATTCACAATGATGCTGAATCTTTATGCATGCATTTTCTTTGTTGTTATGTGTATTTATTTTTTCATCTTGGCCAGATGAAAGTAAAGCAAACAAGATATGTCAGGAGCTTGGTTGTGGAGATCATCATTACATCCCCAAGCTTGGAATGTTCAAAGGACAACAGAGCAAACCAAATGTATTGCTTAATTGTGTTGGCAATGAGCAGTACTCTTGGCAGTGTATGGAGCGGTCAGACTGCCAGGAGCGAGCCAGTGTGATCTGCAGCAGTAAGTGTTTACTATTATTAAACAGCTCTATGGAGTACGTTGCTCTGACTGGGGTAAATGAAATGGTGCTGAAACCCCTTCTGGGTGATACAATACTTCCCAGTATTTCCATGGTTTGTGTGAGAGGTAAAATTCGCATTTACACAGAAGTACTTGTATCACACAGATCACACCAGGTTCCGTCTACAAGATGGCAGCGATGTTTGCTCTGGGTTGGTGGAAGAGAAAACTGTCAAACAAAACTCATGGAATCCTCTTCAGCAGACGAACGTGAGGCCTGAAGTCATCTGTACGCTACTGAACTGTGGTTCCACTGGAAACTTTACAAGCGCTAATGGAACTAACAGACTGACGTGCTCAGGTGATGCTGAGTTTCTTGCTTTAAATAATATTACATCAATTAATATAAGTAATCATTATTAATAGATTTCATATATTAATAATAAATATGTAATTATAAATAGGGCTGTGCGATATGGACAAAAAAAACCTATCGCGATTTCTTTGATCAATATTGCGATTTCGATTTTAATCACGATTTTGACACACACAGACATGCTTTACAGTCATTAATGCATTCAGTGTGAATTTGAAACATATTTCCAAAAGAAAACCAATTAGAGCTTTATCAAAAAGCTGTAACGTGTCTCTAGAACAGACACAAGGCAAAATAATCACTAAGTAAAGGTGTAACAAAATGTCTCTAGAATAGACATATGGCAGAAAAAAGAAAAAAAATCCCGTGTCCAAGGATTTTTTTTTGCCATGCATTGGTCATAGAGCTCTTCGTGGCGTTGCCTCAGATGTTGAACTAGATTTGTCGCGTCAAGTTCACACGTGCTCTGTCTGCAGTGCGTATACAGTATGTGTATGCGGTGCAGAAGCAGCACGGACTCATTTTGCTTTCGCACAGGACGCATTTGCAGTCCGCTCCTGATCCGCGGCTGTTTACCACAAACACAACATTTATCCATTATTTTGATTTCAAATCCAAACGTTGTTTCTGAAAATGCTTTTTCAGCATTGTGATTCTCTTTTATCACAGTACAGTAATACAATCTTTCATAGGTGCGTGCTCCATTTAGGCGCGCTGCATTCTGATTGGTTCGGATAGCATACTGCGGGAGGTCGGGGGCGCGGAAAATCGCGCAAGCTTAAATCGCGATTTTATGACGATTTCGATTAATCGCACAGCCCTAATTATAAATAAATAAATGTTGCATCAATACAAGTTTAGAATTACACAAGTTTTTTTGTACAATGGTTTAGTGTTAATAAATTGTGTTGTTCCGTCTCAAGTTAAATTAATACGTTTTAATGTGTGTTGAAATTTAATAATAGGATTATTATTACAGTAATAGGGTTGACATTGTGTGTTGATATTACAAGGTCAAAGTTAAACTAATGTGAATATAATTCTTCGGATATATCTATATTTATGTACATATATTGTGGTATAGACCATTAATAGACTATTTAACAAATCTTATTTAAAAATATAAAACCTTTTAGTAATGCATCACATGACCAAAATCAAATCCTTTTTATGCGTAGATAGATAACAAAGACAACTTTATTTGAAAATGATTTTTAATAGTAATAATAATGACATTTTTAAAATGTTCCGATTTTCTAATCTTGCAAGAAGCGCAAAACACAGTGGTAGAAATAGGCCAAAAAAGACTTGACCTTCTGTCACAGAATTTTTGCTGATTTTCTAGTTTAACACATTGTAAATGTCAGCTCAACATATTTATTCTTATCTTATAAAACTTTTAATTATAGCTACAAATATTTTATTACAATGAATTAGAATTTTGCCCTTTTTTATTAGGCATTGTAACAATTACATTTGCTGTGTTCACAGACAGCGTGAAACTCCACAACTTCACAACAGAGTGTTTTGGAGATGTTTCCATTGATGTGAATGGTGCTAACTATGAAGTGTGCTACAGTGATCAGCCCCGTGAAAATATGGGGGCGGTGGTCTGTCGAGAGCTTGGCTGTGGTGACATAGTGCTTGTGAAACAGGGCTCCGTTACTTCTAATGGTTTGCTGAGTAATGTTGAGTGTCAGGGCGATGAGCAGTCACTGTGGCATTGCCTGGCAAATCATGAGAAAAAACGTTGCACGGGAACCAAAGTTATATGTTCAGGTAACTAAGATGGCTTTGCAGGTAATTATAATGAACTCAGAATCTAGGACAACCAGAATCACCCATAACTGATAAAGTCTATGTCATACCAATAATTTTGTTGTTGTTGTTGTTTTACTATAAATGGCAGGCAGCTTGGATGTACGTTTGAGTGATGGTCTGGGTGACTGTTCTGGACGTGTAGAGGTGAAATGGGAAGGCTCATGGAGGCCCATTGGCTCTGACAGGACCACTATGAATTCAGACGTGGTGTGTCAACATCTCAACTGTGGTACATCCATTCAAATAAATAGAGAACTTTTCATTGAAGGAGAAAAGGAGCCACCGGAATGGCTATGGAATGTCAAGTGTAGAAACTCTTCAGTAAAGCTCCATGAGTGTTTCGACAATACTAACTTGAGGCTACCACGTCAAAACGAGAAAAACATAGAAATCATTTGCAAAAGTAAGACAATATAATATGCACCAGGCATACTGGTCAAAAGTTTGGAATACGTGAAATGTTATGTTTTTTAAAGAAGTCTCTTATTAAGGTTACATTTATTTGATACAGTAAAATGAGTAATATTGTGAAATATAATCTCAATTTAAAATAAGTGTTTTCTATTTGAATACATTTGAAAATGTAATTTATTTCTATAATGGCATAGTTGAATTTTCAACATTACTCCAGTCTTCAGTGTCACATGATCCTTCAGAGTTCATTCTAATATGCTGATTTTCTGCTCAAGAAACATTTCTTATTCTTATTCTTCTTCTTATTATTATTATTATTATTATTATTAATCTTAAAAACATTTCTGCTGCTTTTTTTTTTGGAAACTGCGATACACTACCATTTAAAAAAGAAAAAAAAAGTAAGAATTTATACTTTTATTATGAATGCTTTTCTTCATCAAGGACACATTAAATTAATCAAATGTGACAGTAAAAACACTTATAATCTTACAAAAGATTTGTATACATTTTTTAAATTTGTATTTTATTTTACTTTGTATCCATCAAATCAAATCTTAAAAAACGTGTCACTAAAGCACTAAAAAAAGTTTTCAACATTAATAATATTAAGAACCATTATTAACAATTGAGCACCAATTATAACTGATGATAATTGAGCACCAAATGAGCATTTTAGAATGATATCTATAGGATCGTGTGACAGCAAAAAAACTGTTTTGCATCACAAGAATAAATTACATTTTAAAATATATTCAACAAACAAATATAACAAATATCTCATAATATTATTGTTGTACTGTATTTTATAATAAACACATCTTTGAGCATAATAAACTTCTTTCTAAAACATCTTAATTATTCCAAATGTTTAACCTGTAATGTAATATAATACCAATCATGTTTTGATGTTTTGTTATGTTTGATGTTAAACTTTTTTGTTTACATAATTTTAACATGCTTTGCATGATCCCAGTAGTTTTTAGTTTTGTTTATTAAGTAAATAAGTCTAATGTGTTACTTTGATTATATTGCCTGTCCAACATGCAGTAACCACAAATCCGTTTTATTTGTTCTCAGAGGAAGAACTTAAGTTCTTTGAAGGCAATTCTCCCTGCGAGGGAAAAGTGTGCATCGAGCAATTTGATGGTAAGACTGATGTCAACATTGGCTACCAGAAATCGCTTACCCCACCTTTAAATTGTGTTGACCCAACTAAATAGATTTATTTTGAATGAACTGAATTAAATTGTGTGTATAAACGTCCTTCACTGTCATTGAGGGTAGTGAATTCT